TCTGTGGCCCCCCCAGCCGTGGAGAAGGTGGAGGCTCTGCCGGACCAGGCCAGCTCGGAGTCGCGGACCCGGGTGCGTGTGCGGCAGGACCTGGCCTCGCTGCCGGCCGAGCTCATCAGCCAGATCGGGAACCGCTGCCACCCCAAGCTCTACGACGAGGGGGACCCCGCCGAGAAGCTGGAGCTTGTCACGGGTACGTCCCCCCCGGGAGGGTTTTTCACTGAATTTTTAGAGTTGGGAGAGATCATCTAGTCCAACTCCCCTGCTGAAGCGGGATTGCCCAGACCTGGAGCACGTTTCTCAGGAGCATCCAGATGGGTCTTGGAAGTCTCCAAAGAAGGGGACTCTACGACCTCTCTGGGCAGCCTGTTCCAGGACTCTGGAAAAAAGTAGTTTTTTCTCATATTTGAGTGGAATTTCCCATGTTCCAGCTTGTGCTGGACCCCTCATTGCCCAGACCTGGAGCACGTTTCTCAGGAGCATCCAGATGGGTCTTGGAAGTCTCCAAAGAAGGGGACTCTACGACCTCTCTGGGCAGCCTGTTCCAGGACTCTGGAAAAAAGTAGTTTTTTCTCATATTTGAGTGGAATTTCCCATGTTCCAGCTTGTGCTGGACCCCTCGTCCTATCGCTGGCAACCACTGAAAAGAGTATGGCTCCCTCCTCCTCCAACCCACCCTTTAGGTACTTACAGGCATTGATAAGGTCTCCCCTCAGCCTTCTCTTCTCCAGGCTAGAGTCCCAGCTCTCTCAGCCTTTCATAGAATCATTCAGGTTGGAAGAGACCCTTGGGATCATCGAGTCCAACCATCTCCCCTACTCTACATGGTCCTTCCCTGCCCCATATCCCTCAGTACCGCATCCAAACATCCCTTAAACACACCCAGGGATGGTGACTCAAGCTCCTGGGCAGCCTGTTCCAGTCTCTGACCACTCTTTCTGTGAAAAATTCCTTCCTAATGTTCAGTCTGAACCTCCCCTGGTGGAGCTTGAAGCTGTTCCCTCTTTTTCTGTCATTAATTACCTGTGAGAAGGAAGAGACCAGCCCCAACCTCTCTACAGTGTCCTTTCAAGGAGTTGTAGAGCGTGATGAGGTCTCCCCTCAGCCTCCTCTTCCTCAAACTAAACACTCCCAGCTCCTTCAGCTGCTCTTTCCTCATCAGGGAGATGCTCCAATCCTTGAATCATCTTTGTTGCCCTTGGCTGGACTCTTCCCAGTAGCTCCTTGTCCCTCTTGAACTGGGGAGCCCAGACCTGGAGAATGACTTCCAGAGGGGGGGAATGACTTCCCTCGACCCACTGGCCACGCTCTTCCCTACACAGCCCAGTGTGTGTGTGTGGGGTGGGTGGGGGATCCCCATGGGGTACCCGGTCCCGTTAACCCCCCCGTTTTGGGTCCGTTGTCCCCCCCTTTCCAGGCACCAACGTCTACATCACGCGGGCGCAGCTGATGAACTGCCACGTCAGCGCGGGGACGCGGCACAAAGTCCTCCTGCGGCGGCTCCTGGCCTCCTTCTTCGACCGGTGAGCGAGGATTTCACTGAATTTCACTGAATTTCTAGAGTTGGAAGGGACCATAGAGATCATCTAGTCCAACCCCCCTGCTGCAGCAGGATTGCCCAGAGCTAGAGCGTGTTACTCAGGAGCATCCAGGCGGGGCTTGAAAATCTCCAAGGAAGGGGACTCCAAGGATGGTCCCCTTCTCCCCTCCCCGACACGGTTTTTGGGGTCCTGTGGATTCTCACCCCCTTTTTTTTGGGTTTTTCCCCCCCTTTCTCCCCTTCCAGCAACACCCTGGCCAACAGCTGCGGCACCGGCATCCGCTCCTCCAGCAACAACCCCAGCAGGAAGCCCCTGGACAGCCGGGTCCTGCACGCTGTCAAGTGTGAGTGGGGGGACACCCCAGGGGACAAGGGGGGAACCCCAAGGATGGGGGGACACCGGGGAAGGAGGAACAGCGGGGAGCTCGGGGTTGGGGGGACCCACAGGGACAGGGGGGTGGGGAGCACAGAGAGGGGGTCCTGGGGGGCAGGGTGGACCTCAGGGTTAGGGGGACCCCAGAGAGAGGGGACAGTGGGGGACAAGGTGGACCCCAAGAGGGGATGATGGAGGACAGGGCGAACCCTAGGGCTGGGGAGACCCCAAAGAGGGAATGTGGGGGTCAGGGTGGACTCCAGGGCTGGGGAGACCCCAAAGAGAGAGGACAGTAGGGACAGGGAGGTCACAGGGCTGAGGGGACCCCAAAGAGGGGACGATGGGGGTCATGGCAAACCCCTGGGCTGGGGGGACCCCAAAGAGAGGAGACGAAAGGGATAGGGGAGACCCCAGGGCTGAGGGGGACCCCGAAGAGGGGATGTTGGGGGACAGAGGAGACCCCCGGGCTGGGGGACAGGGCGCTCTGGCTGCAAACCAGACCGAGAGCCGCAGCAGCTTCGTGTCCCTGAGCGAAACCCCCTCCATGAACCCCCCGGGGTGGGCCGTGGTGGATTGAGGGGGTGGGTATGAAGCGATGTGACCCTATCCCTGTGTTGTCATGTCTCCCCCCCCCCAGTTTACTGCCAGAACTTCGCCCCCAACTTCAAGGAGAGCGAGATGAACGCCATCGCGGCCGACATGTGCACCAACGCGCGGCGCGTGGTGCGCAAGAGCTGGATGCCCAAGGTGAAGCTGGTGATGGCCGAGGGCGACTCCTACACCTCCTTCATCAACGACATGGGCAAGCTGGAGCCCGACATCATGGGCCCCGAGCCCCCCTTCGAGCCCCCCGGCCACGAGGGTGAGGCGGGGACCCCCGGGGAGGGCCTGCAGTGACCCCCCCCTTGAGCTCCCCCCCTCCTTTCTTCCCTGGGCCAACCCCCCCAATCCTGGGTAGGGACCCCCTCCTGCAAGGGCCCTGTGGATGGGTAGGGCCCC